ATAATATACACAAAATTCAAATATAACTAAAATATAACTCTGAAAGGAAAACTGATCTTAGCCGATTTATTTATATATATATATATATATATATATATATATAGATAAAGTAGACTCATGAAAGAAATTTGAGAGATTAAAAAAATAATTATAAAAATAACTATTTATGGTATATTATTAGATCTTTAGATGAAATAGAAGCATGATAAGAAAAGATGTCAAAAATTGGAATTTTTAGATACAGCTGTGACCTTTCTCAACAAGAAATAAATTAAAGTTGGGTGGGAGGGATTTCGCTTGTTTCATTATTGATAAAATGTAGTAGTTTTGGGCTAGTTGTTTGTGAAAACAGTATTCATTGAGTATGCCTAAATTCCTATTTAAACCTAGAAAATGCTTTACACTTATATATTTGGTGTGAATGTGGGGAAATTTCAAAGATTGTTTTATGTCATCATTTTGGTTATGGATATTTAAAAAAAATATTATTTAAAAGATTTTCAAATTAACCTCAGTGTTTTTAATTAGTAGTAAGGTTGCCATAGTAATGCTTTCTTTCCTTATATTTTTTCAGTTATTTTGGAAATGTCCATACAGAATGAAATGTTAACAAAAAGTAAATATGATATTAAGCATCCAACTGATTTTCATGAATTCCGTTTTATGTACTTTTTTAGGGGATATTTTATATCAATCATTTGTGTGTGTGTATATATATATATATATATAGGGGCTTGGTACCTTGAACTCATTCAGGTAATATGAATATGAGAACAGACAACATTGTAGGACCATGTTCAGATCAAATTTCAAATATTTGATACATTTTTCTGTTGTATCAATCAAAATGTTTTATTGATATCTATAATGTTTATAACAATAATAGTTTGAAAATCATATGAAATAATCTTTTATTTTTTACAAAAAAAAAACAAAAGCAAAGGATATAACTACAAAAATCAAGTAGCATTTTATTTTATTTTTTTTGTAATGTCTCAGAAAATTTAGATATGAATTTTTCTGAAAAATGTTAATAAAACTTGATGTTTAAATTAAGAAAGAATTTTCTTAATAGCCTTCTTCTTGCCAACTTATTGTTGTGAATCCACTCTATTTAAAAGTCTTAATTAGTAGTGTCTGACAAGTTAGCTTTAGTTAGTTATTCTGCAATAGTCCAAGGACAGCAAGTATTAGTTGCAACCATGCTGTGATGTTTTATTGATGCAGAAAGTTTATACTAGAGAATATAAATAACATGTGATTGCTAAACAGGATTACTTCAGCACCCTAATTAATCAAACTGATTGATATTATTTCAGAACAGTGACACTGTCTTAGCTCTTTTCTAATTAATTTCATATTATGATGATATAAATGTTTCAGTTACTTTAAAAATAATATTTGAATGTGTAGGACTCTTAGTAGAACTGTAATTTTCTTTTTTAATGCTAGAATTCACCCAGTACAAGGCTTGAGGTAAAGGGTTACTGTTAAAATGGTAATGATGAATAAAATTGGGGTGGTAGGATAACAAGAATAGATAACTGACCCTTGACTCAATATTGTATCTGTCTATATTTCTGAGATATTATGTACATTATCATTATTCAGACTATTGTCCTCATCTTTGTCACCATATTTATTACAACGTTTTGGCCATTGTACGCTTCAGCCTTCTTCAGGTGGTTGGAATGTTGAACTGAACCCTTTCGCTCACTGGGGTAGACTGTTCTAGTTCCATGTGCCATGTTTAATGGATGTCAGTTATCAGTTATTTCCTGCTAATTTCCCTCTGAAAGTTCTCCACTGCCTTAACCAGGTATTGAACTCACACGCTTTGGGTCCTGTCACTGGATCTAACTAATGCCTTTATCCACTGTGCCATGAGGATACATTAGCGGGAAATTAGCAGGAGATAACTGATAACTGACATCCATTAAACATGGCACATAGAACTAGAACAGTCTACCCCAGTGAGCGAAATAAAGGGTTCTGTTCGACATTCCAACCACCTGAAGAAGGCCGGGGTGTACAACGGCCGAAACGTTGTAATAAATATAGCGACAAAGATGAGGACAATAATGTAAATAATGTCTATATTGTAGTATTCAGGGTAATACCCACACGGGAATATGTTTTACAATGTGGTAGTTCTTGAGAAAATCCTGTGTGGAATTTTCTTATCTTTGGAACGGAGGAAATGAGAGTGCTTTGATGCTGTGGAAGTAGCATAGTGTGACCTGACTGTAAAGTTTTAACTGATGGAACTAAAGAATAGAGTTCATCTGAACACTTGCCATGGAAATAGTGCTAGAGTAGTGATAGGCTTGCAACATTGTGTATGTCAGAAAGAGGCTGCAGAGTGGAGAATAGGTATTCCTCCGCAAGTCTGTGTAACTGATTTCAAACTCTGTCAAGGTTGGGAAGTGAGGATTTTTTAACCAAAGTTAATTCTTTATTCCTAAGAATTCTTTGTGTGTAGCTCCTCGCCGTTGACCTGCCCTTCACTTCAGTTTACTTCATTAGTAATTCTCTCACCCTCTGAAATCAAAAACAAAGTGGCAGAGTGAAGGATCCTGAAGCAGACAAACGCCAGCTAGATCAAGTGGAACTGTGCCCATCAACACAATACTAGTGACACACTAGCAATGTGTTAACAAGTAAGGAGTCAGCTAGATGGTAACCATGGTGGTTGGAAGGAACTGAAGACCGACATGGGGGAGTAGGGCTACAATACTGGTTGCTGTTGACCAGGATCAACCCAAAGGGCTACAATCCAAATCAAATCTTACCCGCTCTGTTGCTGCTCCTGTCTAGTAAGCAAAATTGGGTCCATCTGATTCTCCAGTGTTGTTCTCTGTCTAGCATTTTTGCTTCATTCCATGGGGGTTGGTTCCTTCTATACATGATCAGCCATGTCTGATTTCATTGCCTCACGTCTTATTATATTCCTCTAGTCTTACTTCTAGGGGTTGTCTGATTTCACCTTTATATTCTTTGCCACAAATTCAAGGGATGGAATACACACAGTAAAAGATGATATATCCCTAGAGATGGACAGCAGAATGAAAACAATCTATCCCTGAAGATTAAATAAAGAGTTTGGTTCAAAATTTCTTGACTCCCCTTCTTCAGATGTGTCAGAGAGCACAATATCTGAAACTTTGTGATGATAATAACAAAGATGAAGACATTAGTCTTGACAGTAAATAATGAAAATAAGGTTAACTCCTCATCTTGGATATTCAGACAGAAATTCACAGGGTTAGATTAGTTGGTAATAATTAAACACTTCTATCCCACTTGTACACTTACCATATCTTAAGTACCATTGCTTGATAGAAAGGCAAGCAACTAATAATGCTTTGATCATATGTTGGTAAGATTAAAAAAAGATTGGAATTCAGGATCTCTAATTGTAGAATGGATTGGTACAAACACAATCAGTAAATGTGATTAAAAAAACTTTGATTACATTTTAGATTAATTAAAAGAACATTAGACCATGTGATTTGAAAGATAAAGAACAACATAGAAAGACTGTGGAGAAGGAAAGGGAAGCAATAGGGTGGCAATCCTGGTGTGAGGCATGAATGACAGCTGCAGACAGGGCAGAGTGGTGATATTCTGTGGAGGCCTTATGTGCCATGAAGCACTAGGCAGATAGACCCATCAACAATATGATTTTATAATTTACTGATATAAACACACACACACACACACACAATTTCATCCCAAGCAAGGTGGTAATGCCACTAATATGCAGAGGGTTACAGGGAGTAAAAGAGAAAGAAGACTGAGAATAGGGAGGATTGAGGAAAGGACAAAAAATGAACAGGGTTCAAGAAGACAGAAGATCATAATTGACATTACATTTAAATTTTTGAAGATTGTAGGGAAGCAAGGAAATGGAACAGAGTTCCACAAGTGAGGAAAAAAAAACTGTTGTAGTAGATATATATATTTATTTATTAAATGTGAGTTTTGATCTAATTTTATTTAGATTAAGAGAGGGTCAAAATCCTGGAAGTCAGACTACAAGATTTGGATGTACATTTAACGTTCATTTTTTTTTTTTTATAAAATAAATGAATTAATACTTAATATATAATACAGAAAATTTTAAAAATATATAGAGGAAGTAAGCTGATACAAAATAATTCAGTTGTACACTTAGTCTGTGAACAGATATGGTATCGATTCAAAAAGTGGGTCATTTCATAATTAAGCTTCATTCTGCTCAAACATTTCTGCAAAATATTAAATTCTGAGACAATCCTAAAGAGTAGAAATTAATTCTTGACAAGTTTTAGTGAAAAAATGAACTTATTAAGTTATTAATAATTAGAAATGCAATTATTATATAATTATTATGTTATCCAATTAAATTATCTGAAGATCATTCATTCATGAAACTGACTACCAACTTTTTATTACTTAAAAATTGTTTAAGTAAATTTAATCATTCAGTCTGCTGGTTGGGCATTGAAAATCAGGAAAAAAATTTTTTTTTCTGTAGCAAAGAATTACACATATAGTTTAAAGTTTGGTATATTTATGAGAAAAGAGAGCTCATTATTAGAGAATAAGCATTTATAAATGCTTAAACAATTAAACCTTTTACTACGTTAATAATTTACTTTGAAAAAATTTTACACACACATCTATCAAAAATAGAAATATTTGGCTATCCATATAAATCCCCTTCTGGTTATATAAGAAATTATGTAATGGATAGCAAAACAAATTCAAAAAAATTTGCATCATAAAATAGTCTGTTAAGGAAAGTATAATTTCTGAAAATCAATTTTGACAAACCTTGTGTGCGTGTGAATAAAGACAAACAGGAAAACTATTTTTACCAATATTTTTATTTATATGTGAATGTTTGCGCACACACACACACATATATAATTTTAACTCAATAAACAATCACTTAAAAATATTCAATTCTTCAGTGTGCAAGCATTATAACTTCTTTAAATTGGTCATTATTTCAGGTTTTCCTTTTTAAGTTACGAAATGACAAATCATGGCTGAAGTATGACTGGACCAAAGTCACATCAGTGGTCACTGTTGGCTTCATGGATACTGTACTGATGTGTCATGCTCACAAATATGGTGCAAGGGCTATTAGAATTGGTAAGAATATTTTTGTTCTTTGTCTCACTTGTGACATTACTACTGCAAAGTGAATTTGATCCTTGATGGTGCCCCACATTTCTGGTCCCAACAAAACTTAATAAATATCTGTATTATTCAAAACTTTTATTTTATTTTTTTGACAGTGAATTATCCAATCGATCAATTACTGAATGTTACCCACAGACAACAATGGATCCAAGAACAAGTGTCACAAGTTTACAAATATTTCTATGATGGAATCAACTTTGATATGGAAGGTGCTTTACCTCTTACTCGCAAGGACCTCAGAGATGCTCTCACATCATTGGTGAATGAGACTTACCAAATTCTGAAAGCAAAAAATAAAAACTATCAGGTTAGTTTCAGAATTTCTTTCCTGTCAAATATTTTCAGACACACATTTTTTTTTTTTTTTAAATTTTATCTTCTTCAAGAAATTAAGTTCTATCTCAATGTTGAAAAGTTTCTCAGGAATTAATTGTTGTTTTATGATTGCATTTCTGGTTTATGGATCTTCTGCAACTTATTGCTGAAAAACAAACTTCTGCTTTATCATTTTCTCTGTCTTTGAGGAACTTTGTAACTTGGATATGGCTTATAAAAATTTGTTACTCATGGAATAGATTAAAGGTAAGAGAGACAAAGGAAAGCAAGGCATAACCTACCTGGCAAGCTTGAGTGAATGGATGGTGGCACAGGGTTTGGGATAGATGGCAAAAGGACAAAAGTTATTAAGAGTGACAAAGGAGAGGAGGTTATAGAGAGCCATGATTTCCAATGTCCTTAAGGGACACATCACATAGTACAAGAAGTTTCAGTAAAAAAAAAAAAATACACTTATCTTAGTCACAATGTAGGCCAACCTAGTTAGGTGATAGTATTTCCAAAGTTGTGAAATCATAAAATAAGTTTTGGCTTACAACTACATCACATTGAAACACTGGTTCGTGTATAATCATTGAACACAATATCAAGCCTGGTCAGTAACTTGATAGATGACCACTTTGTAATACCAGGTGCTGTAAGCTTGGATGTGTGAGTGGTATAATGGCTTGGAATTATTAATTGAAGAGCCGAGTTCCTATTCCAGTTGAGTTTGATATATTCACTTACAAATACACTTGGGAAAGGTATGAATCCACCTCTTCTTCCTCCAGCTATGACTTGTACCATTGAATCATTATTATCATTAAATCATTATTATCTCAAAAAAATTCTTGTTATCTAAAAATATTTTCTGTCTTTAGATGACCTGCAATGGTTTGATAAGCCATAGAAAACAAATCAATCATCAGTCAATGAAGCTTGGATACAAGCAAATCCTGTAATTGATCAATACTGTTTATAATAAAAACTGTAACACCTGTGAGTCTACTTTCTTTAGTTCCTGACCAAATATACAAAAATAGATATAATTCATAGAAAAAATAATTTTCTTTTGCCACTTTTACAAATTTTGCAGAATTCTAGTCTGATGAATCTCTTCCTGCAATCAATGGATTCTAAATTACTTTCCAATGTATTTGGTCACATTCTTCTCATTATTTGAAAATAATACTTTGCAATGCCATTTATAAGCAATTGGTGTCTCTATGACGTAGTCGTTATTAGCATGGATAGTTGGATGGCATGCTGAGTTGAAATTCAGTCTTTGTATTCATTTTCACAGAAATACCATTAGGAAGGTATGACTTAATCTCTTCTCTTGGCTAAGGGGTTAATAGCAGGGTAGACTGAGCTCTCTCGCCTTGGGTGCCAGCTAATATAAAAGCCTGAACTCAAAACCAGCCTGAAGATGGATTGGCTCTCTCAAGCTAACCTGCTCTAGACACACCCATGTAGTGTTGCCCTAATGGCCCTAATGGTTTATGGGTCTCATGAGGTGACAATATGAAAATAAAGTTTCATATGTCAGTCTTAAATGTATTTAGCTATTTTGAATATCTTAAGAAGCAGTTGCATAACCTTGATGTAATTAGTGAACCAATTACTGTATATATATGAATAGATACACTACTGTGGGATTATTGTCAAGTCAGTAGTGAGATGTTATATAGTGAGCAGGTGTACTGTGTGACTGTTGCATTCACAATGACTGGGAAAGTGGATTGTTCATGTCTTGTGCCAGGGATTTGGGCAAAACATTACCCAGATCTGCCAATCCAGATTGGGCACTCTGATTTTTGACCTTACCCAAACCTAAATTACCATTGTGACATTCACCTTGAGTTTAAGTAGAATACATGAAGGTAACTAATGGCAATCCTAAAAGTGGACTTTGCAGACCATTCTGAAAAGTGGAAGGGATACTGGGAGAAGTGTATCAGGTTCCAAGAGGAAAACTTTAAAGTAAACTAAGGCACTATTACTCAAAGTTGCTGATTTTTAATATTAAATTACTGCATATTTTCCAAATGGACATTCTATGCTTTCTGCACTAAAATAATTGCATTTACACTTAATATTATAAAAAACAAGGTTAATGTTGATTTGATTGTTGTTGTCTGCATTTAGTAGTAAGATGTAAAAAGATTACAACTCGTAATTCTGTTGTTTTGGTTGAATTTTCACTTTGAAATTTTATGTGTTGGAGAGAATGAAGGTTGAACTGTGATAAAATTTCTTTTTCAGTCAAGCAGGAAACAGATTTCTTCTGACTAACTCTACCCAAATGGAAATGTTGCAAAACTCTTCTGGATCCTTTCTTTCTTCTACTTATTACCTAAGTGGTTTGCTGGTTATTTACTTATTGTTTTAATTGATTTCTCATCTTTCTTGCAGCATTGCCTCTCCACAGTATGGGTAAAATATGAATGATTTGTTTAAAATAGTTTATCAATAATAGTGTTGCCATCTCTGAACATTAAAATTGATGTTCTTAAAGACATACTACACACATTTTAGAGTTATGTAACCTTGAATCAGCCATGATAATTAATTTTGGTTTACATAACATTATATAAAGAAATAAATTGGAAAAACTCTTTCTTCTTTGATATGTTTTACCAATTATTTGTTGGCATCAGAAAAAAGATTTTTTAAATGTAAATAATCTTTGTTATTATTATTGTTGTTATTATATGTGTATGTGTGTATGTGTGTGTGTTTATATACATTGTGTGTTCAAGACCTAAGTGAAAGACATATCTTGGGAAAAATTGATTGTATTGAATTGTAAGAGATGTTAAAAGATGTCTAATGATTTTGAAAAGAAAATTGTTTTACATACAGACCTACATTATTTATCAGATGATAGCCTCAAAGTTGAAGCTGGAACCTTATGATCACTGAGGGGTACACCAGCAGCATTTTGCAAAACCACTAGACTTGGTTGGTTGACTTTTTTTTGTGTGGATTTAAATATGATTGCCACAATCAAAAAATGTTTCTGATCAGTTCTAGAGTTTTTTAACATTTTTTTTTTAATTTTCATTTTATTTTTTATTTATTCTAGGTGACATATGATGTAGCCTGGTCACCTCATTGTGTGGATAACAGATGTTATGATGTGAAAGCCTTGTCTGAAGTGACAGATTTCTTATTTGTGATGGCTTATGATGAACGTAGCCAAATTTCAGGTCCTTGCATTGCTGGTCCTAATTCTGCTTATAACCTCACTCTGTATGGTAAGTCAACATTAATACAACCCATTTTTATTGATTCTTAAGCTCTTCAATATAAAAACACTTTATATGAATTTCTGCATGTATGAATGTGACTTTATTAATTTACAAGGTGTTGCAGCAAAATCCAACATTTGACAAAAAGAAAACAAAATAGGCAATAAAAATAAAAGTTGTATATGTAGATACCTGACAGTTTATTTAGCAACAGTTAGTTACGTACTACATTATTTTTCAATGTAACTGCCGCCGGTGGTGACGACCATCTCAAGGCGTGCACGAAATGAGTCACATGCTTTGGTGACCATATCCATAGCGGCGTGTTGTGGGCATGCTTGTTGGTCTTTGCCTCAATCATGTCCCAGAAGAAATAGTCAAGGGGGTTACAGTCAGATGAGGAGGGTGACCAGTGATGAGGAACATTGTTGAGCAGCCACACCTGGGTTGTCTTGGTCTTGTGTACAGCGAGGTGGACGACATGCCTCCGTTCTTCTTTCAAAAGGGCCTGAGAGTCACCGCTGAGATCTTCCAGGAAGTGCTGAGGAGTGTGGTGAAGCCCTGGATAGACAAGATCGCTGCCGGATGCCCCTACATCTTCCAGCAGGACTCCGCTCCTGCACACAAAGCCAAGACAACCCAGGTGTGGCTGCTCAACAATGTTCCTCACCACTGGTCACCGGACTTGTGGTCACCCTCTTCACCTGACTGCAAACCCCTTGACTATTTCTTCTGGGGCATAATCAAGGCAAAGACCAACAAGCATGCCCACAACACAGTTGACTCTCTGAAGGCTGACATTGTGGAGGCGTTCGCTGCTATGGACATGGACAAGGACATGGTTGCCAAAGCATGTGACTCATTTCGTGCACACCTTCAGATGGCTGCCGTCACTAGCGGCAGTTACATTGAAAAATAATGTAGTATGTACCTCCTAACTGTTGCTAAATAAACTGTCAGGTATTCTGCATATACTACTTTTGTTTTTATTGCCTATTTCATTTTCTTTTTGTCAAGTGTCGGATTTTGCTGCAACACCCTGTACATATGAATACAGTAATAGTAGATATACATATTAACAGTATCTGTTAATGACACCACACATTTTACAGGAATCAAATTTGATTTGTACTTCACCTTTCTATGTAATTCAAATAATTTTGTCATTCTTTGTTTTTTATTATTTTTTAGTTCATTTAAGAAACTAGTGTTATATATTAATAAATCCAATAGAAAAAATAATTTTGTGAAGATGAAATGCTATATTATTTTTCATCAAATAGATTTTATCTGCATTTTTCTCTTTCTCCCCCCCCCTCCTTCAGGTATTGATGAATATATTAAAATGACAATTCCTTCAAGAAAACTTGTCTTGGGTGTGCCTTGGTATGGCTATCGATATCCTTGCATCAGTTTATCTTCTGTAAGTATTTTACAAGTATTTTTATAAGCATCAGTTTTGTACTTTTTATTTTATTTGATGTAGCTGTTTCACCTAAAGTCACCTGAAACTTTTAGAAATGTATTTGTCATAAAATAATTCTATAGACACTTAAACCTCAAGCATACAAACTAACTTTCGTATTTGTAATTAAACTGTTTATAAACAAAAATGACTACAGAAAAGTGTCTTTAACTTTGCCCTAAAAAAATAACAATTCTGATTTCTAAGTTGTTAATATTCAGTGATTTCAAATGTATAACTCCTTTTTGTTGATATAAAGTAACAAACAACAAAGATGAAGTTAGTCCACAAAATCGTTGATAATGAAAACAGTTAAGCTTTTTAAATTTAAAGGCAAAAAATGAAGTAACTAAATTCAAGTGATTGTTTTCATGAAATATGCATTATTTTCACATAAATATCTTAATAAACTGAAGCAAATTTCTCTGTCAAATTAAATTTAACTCAGAAAATTATGAAAGCTGATCAAATACTGGGATTTTAGTTGGGTATCAAAAAAGGCAACACAATAACCAGAATTAATGTTACTAAATGTGAAATGATAACTTATATGTTTTCTATTTTCTGAACTTTGTATTTTCATTTGTTGATATTTTATAAAAACTTTATTACAAAAGTAAAACAGACTCTAATGTGGCCATCTTGGTAGATAGCAAAAGACATGTTTCTGATATAAATTCTAAAACAGAATAGTCAAAACAGAACCTTGTCTGCAAACAAAAGGAAAACACTTTTTATTAGTTTAAAAAATGATAAATCTTTTGGTAGGCAATAGTATACACATTTATTACAATATAACATTTAGTAGAGTATATCTATATCCATAATAAGTGAAATTAACATGGTAGCCCACAAATCGATTATGAAAACTAACTAGCACTTCATGCTATTTCCAAACCTTCATAGACATATAGTAGAATACAATGCAGCCAGTTTTATGATGTATTTTTATTGTATGCTAGGAATATTGTTTAGCTTAGTCCTTACTGCAGAGTATCCAATCTAAATCAAAATGGCGATGCTCATGAGACATCGCTATCAGCATCTTTATGGTCCTTTATTTTCAGTAAATGACAATTTCCTATTATTTCCAAAACAGGCCAGCACAGCCAGACAACAGTGTTATAACAATGCAGCAGTGTTAATCTTAGAACAAAAAAGATGCTGATAGTATTAATCTTAGATTATAAAGGTGCTGATAGTGATGTCTCCTGAACATCACCATTTTGATTTTATATTGGATACTCTGCAGTAAGGACTGAGCTAAACAATATCCCCAGCACACAATATAATAAAAATACACCATGAAATTGGTTGCATTGTATTCTACTATAAGTAGCCTGTGGAATATATCCTGTATTTGTTGGCAAAGATGAAATTAGCAATTTGTATTTCAAATTCCAAAGTAGTTTGGAAAACTGTTTATATTTGTTTTTTATAAACTTTTGTTTTGCTATTATTATTATTGTTGTTGTTGTTATTATTTGAATTTTGGAGGCATTAGTTTTAATTGGAGATTTAAAAAATATTTCTTAAAAAATAAGAAAGCAGAATTTTCTGACCTTTGATTTTTGTATAACCTTTCAACTTTTTGTTTAAAAAAATTAGTCTCTTTTTTCCACTTAGAAATACAACTTGAAATTTCTTGGACATTTTTTTTCTGTAGTGATACAATAATGCATAAACTTATCTAAATTAAAAAATACTTGTTTTTCTCTTTGGCAGAAAAATGTCTGTAAAATTCATAAAGTCCCTTTCCGAGGTGCCGAGTGTAGTGATGCAGCAGGGAAAGAATTTGATATTGCTGTAATTGTTGACAAAATGTTACCAAAATCCCAAACTGGAAAGATTTGGGACAAAAGTTCTATGACACCTTTTTTCACATATCAGGTAATGCCTCATTCAATAATTTCTTTATGATTCCAATGTGGCAGCAATGTTTTGGCATGATTTAATACTTTAAATTGACATGTTTACTACTACATGATACTAAGCCCATTGCCAGGTGATGATTTGCCTCCACCTTACCATAAAAACAATGTGAACTAATGTTAGTGTGCCAATTCTTACTCACCCCTCCAATTTAATGGCTGTCTCACAATTAAAAAAGAAAAACCCCAAAAACTCTGGACCTGCATGATACACATGGGTTTCTTGTGGTATGTTGCATATTTCCTCTGATTTGCATGTGCATCCAGAGATTTGATGCACAAATACATCACATGGCACTAATAGAGTAAACAAATAAAGATAGTGCTAAGGACACACGAGTGTTAAATTTTTATAATTTAGTAAATTTAAATTTATTTGCCAAAATAAAAGCATAAATACTCATGTAAAAGCCTGCTTCGGAGGCACAGTGGAGTAATGGATAGCGGCTCCGACTGATGTATCAGAGAGCTGAGTTCGAATTCCCGTTGAATTCATTACATTCACTTATGTGCTAATACCTTCAGGAAAGGTATGAATCCATTTCTTCTCATCCCAGCTATGGGTAAATAGCAGCACAGACTGAGTTCTATAGCTTTGGATAGCAACTAGTCGACCACAGAAAGAAATGGTAACCTACTGCAGGAAAAAATCTGCCTGCCTCGTCAGTCATGTATCAAAAAATACATGATTGCCCCACCGTATATCACGCATGGAACATAACTAACTGATAAGCCTGCTTCATGTATAATGAAATCCCTAAATTTGTTTGTGAAAAACCTAATTTTTTTCATATAGCTCATGTATAATGTGACCCCAGCTTCTAAGCAATCGTAGTAGGTCTACTGTAATCCAATATTGCAGTACTGGGTATTATCTTGGACATATTTTATAGCTAATAAAAGGTCTTCATTCTTTTTCTTTTTTTCTTTCTTTTTTTTTTTCTTTTACAAAGCTACCCCAGAATAACAAGAAAAAACTCTTAGTGTAAAATATCAAACAAAGATTTAGATACTGTATTTTTGTTTTTGTTCATGCCAGACTAGTGTAGCTAATTTACCTTGAGCCTGCCTCATATGTAGCCTAAGTTTCTTCCTTGTATAGTGCAACAAGTCACCAAAAATGCATGAATTTTAACGTCTTCAAAGAATTACCTTTTAAAAAAAAAACAAAAAAACTGATCATAAAAACTCACACTATACTTGAGTATATTTGGTAGTCTCATCTGGCAATTTCTAATGGGGAGCTCTAACAATAGATGGCATTATATTAATGTTCAAATAACCAAAAGTTAAAAAACAGTTCATGTTTCATTTTGCTATTGCAGAACAAAATTATTTTCTCTCACTCTAGCATAATTCCATAGATGTGTACATGATATAAAGATGTAAATCAGAATATTATTTTTCTTCACTAAATTCAAAAGTTTGTAACAGATGAACATTCACACTTGAATGAACTCTGAAGACATGTATAGAAGTACAAAAATATAAAAAGGTTTAAAAACATGCTTCCAAATAAATGGAGGGAAAGAATTAACTCTGTGTGGAAACAAATCTGTGTAACAACAAAACTTAAAAAATCCTGACAGTACTTTACATGGTGCCTTCCTCTTTAATCTTTGTCATTTTAAAATGTCTGGGAATTAGCAATTCTCACTCTTCAAAATTCCTGTACTTGCATTTGGTTTTCATATAAATGTGTGATCTCTATCAAAAGATGGATATATTTGTACAGGATTCCTTGTTTGATTTTTTTCACAACATTTCAACTATTTAATCCTTGGTCTGCAGTTGTATGTTGTAATTTTGAATCTTGTTAAAACTTATTTTTAGGGTGCAGGTGCATTCTCTCTCATCCACATTACACCTTTTTTAAAAAATTTTTTGTCTCTGTGTTTTTGAGACTGCTTTCTTCTCAACAGAGGATGCATAGGTGGTGTAATAGGTAGTGGCTTGGAATGAGAAATTGGATAGCTGTTGTAACCTAGGGAAGGTTACTGAATAGAATCATCAAATGAAAGTTGGTAATGAATGATAATACTTAGGACAAGAACAACACATATGAGATTTGCCAGTTGTGCGTAGAAGTAATAGTCAACTGCTAGAAGTGAGTCAAGTGAATTCTACAATGAATCACCAACTGCAGAATATCTACCAACCGCCCCATAAATTTTTATGTGGGGTATCTGAGCCTGTAGGCTCAGCCAAAAATTTCCTGTATACCTCGTATAAAATGGGGTCAGGTAGCTGTTTCCTGAGATGAGACTCTGCCCTTTGACATAGCCTTGTCTGGGGATCCTCTCTGCCTGGAGGCAGTGAGTTTGATCAGCACAGCTGGAGATGAATCTTCAACTGCAGATCAAAATACAGTATTTACCACAGTATTTATGTGAATGGCGACATACCCATTATGCTACAACAATAGCCCAGTTCGGATTCCAGTTTGGTTCATAACATTCACTTGTACGCAAATACCCTTGGGAATAGTGTGACCCTATCACCTTCCCCCAGCTATGGGTTAAATAGTAGGACTTGTATCTGAAAAAACATTGTTATTCTCAAAAAATAACCCACTAGTATTGATTAGCCATAAAAAACAAAATCAATCCATGAATTCTAACAATAGGCTGACTTTATGGTCTTCCATTCAGCATTATCCATGCTCCATTTGAATCAAACCTGTAGATTTCAAAGTTCATTACCAATTCCTTAATGATTAATGATGTTATGAACATGTTATTTACATTTTTTTTTGCTCCAGCTTCACCCAATAATTCTTATGTTTCAAACAAGTAATCTTGAATTGACTACTGCTCTCACAGTTGCACTCCTTATTCTTTCTGTGTTCTCATTTAGTTTCCATTGTTCAGTGGTGGACAGACATTAAAACACAGAGCTCAGTTATCACTGTTCTAGAAGAAACATGCCTCCTAACAAAACCTATTTTTGCATATCTAATAGAAACAAATTATTGTCACTTTATACAATTCCTTTTTCAGGAAGATGATGGCACTATCTACCAAGTATGGTATGATGACACTGAAAGTCTTCAGCTAAAATACAAACTTGCAGAACAACTGAATCTTCGGGGTGTAGGAATGTGGAATGTTGACTGTGTCCGATATGATGATAGCAGGAATTCAACAAAACTCCGAAAGATGATGTGGAATATTTTACCAAAATACGACATGTCCTATCTCACCCCAACACACTAAATTCTTATTTTTTGCTTTTAATTAAGATATTGAAAATACCAAAATTATATTTGCCTATCAAGAATTTCTTTTTTTTTTTCTTTTAATGATGGTATATTCTTGTTTACTTTTTGTTTTTAGTAATTCTTTATTCAAGCATAGAATTTTGCAATAGAAAAAAATTTTCTTTTCTCTTTCGACTGCATGTAGATATACAAATATGGTGGTTTTTTTTTTTTTTTCATGTTACATGATATTTATGAAAATGTTTGTTTCATTTTAAAAAAGAAAAAAAAAAAATTAAAAAATGCCTGAAGATTAGATCAATGAATGACTTGATTTATTCTATATTTGATCATGTCTCAAGTAAAATGCTTTATTTTATATAAGTAACCAAAGCTTACTAAAATCCCCACCAAAATTTGATTTACAACTACTCAGCACATTGCTTTGCAAAGGCTGTGAAAATTTATATTAGTTTTTGGACACATTTAGAAAAGTCTATTCATGTGTGTGTGTATATATATATATATATATATATATATATATATTTTAACAAACTTACTAAAAACTAATACTCAGCAATATTATATTTAAATGTATGAAATTAACCAATTCTCAGAAATCTACTATCACAACAAAAATTTTTTTTTCTTAAAAGCTCAAAAATACCTCTTAAAATTGTCTTTGCTTACCAAAATCCAATATCTTTTATATCTCAACATTTAGCATGCATATTTTATAACCTACCACTGTGATTCTTTCCAGGCTGTAGTCTGTCCTTTACTAACAAAAGTTCTGAAATGATAAAACCCAAAGAAACAAGCTGACAATATTTGAAATACAAATTATGTCACAATTGATTTTTATTTTGTAACAATACTTAAGCATTCCTTTCTCTTACTAAAATGCTGTGTTCATTCTACAATGTATCAGTTGATATAATCTACTAAAATGAGTTTTCTAAACATGGATGTCTAAGAAGTCTCCATTTTAAGTTTCAAATGAAACTGATAACCATAGACCATGGAATGAACTGGATAATGGTAGCCTTTAATTCTAGTCAATTTTAAAAGAAAAAGACTGACGTTTCCAAATCAAGAATATGGAAGAGCTGAATAGCAAAAATATAGAAATACATTTCACTTTCACTTTATTCTTACTATTATTGGAGAGACATTAATAAAAATGTATTTCTCTGGTTTACTTCAAGTTTGATAGTTTGCTTTTTACACTGAGCCTAGGTAGATGCCAGGCTTTCAAATGCTGATTTTTCACTTAAGATTTGCCTCATCAATGCAATTTTCCTTTTACCGCTTCCTACTTCATGTGGTCTCATGTATTTAATCCTAATATAAGAGTGCAGCTCAAGTGATAAAAGGGAGGTAACTTTTGTTTGAATTTCATTCAGTGCGGTGTTTTACCGTTGGTTAGGAATGATATACTTGTTTATTGTTTTGTTAATTTCCAATGTCTCCTCCACGTACTTTACAGCCTTCCTCTAGAACACAACTGGCACATGAAGAAGGCCAAAGGAAGCATAACTGAAATTTCTTCAAAAGGGAAAATATTAAGTGACAAAGACAAGAAAATTAGTCTCTGAACCAACCAAATACAATGATTAGATAAGAAATAACTTGTTTGTACATGTTTACTTGATGCTTAAATCGGACATCCATGTTTTTAGAGCTAGGTTGGAATACTGGCTGCCATAGGTATCACAGGATTAGAACATATAATAAAACTTCTACAAAACACTTCTGACTCATTTATACACCTATTATAACTTCTTAGTATCCTCAAGATATAGAAATACAAGCAAATACTCTCAGGTGTCTAATACAGATTGGGATGACTTTTAATTATTTTTATTTATTTATTTTTAATTTTAATTTTTTTTGGAGGACATTTTCCAATACTCCTTCGAGCTTATTAAGACTAATCCTGTTTATCAATTTTACAATTTAAATAATTTTTATGGTCCCCTTTTTATTATGATCCCTATGTTTTGTGCATACTGAGAAAGACACCCTCCCCTTGTATTAAGCATCTAAGTGTTGTGTAAATAAAACATTTTCATTGAATTTTGGGTTGATGCAAACTGTTGGATGAGAGCATGTGTACCAGTATTTTATAGAAATTTGAATTTAGTTATAATTTCCCTGCAATATCATATGTTTGAGTTAGCAATTATTTGATATATAAACAAATTTTCTACATTGGTTTCTGTTTTTCATGGAGTTTGAGTAGTTCTTGTCGGTATGCTTACTCATTTTACTCCTGGGGGTAGGGGTAAATATTTTTTTTAAAGTTCTGACTGGGAAAACTTGAGCATGGTTCAATTTAGGTCTTTGTAAATTTCTACAAATAAGCAAAGACATATGCAAATATTTTTTATTCTTATAGAGTCACTTGATATTGCTAATTAAAGACTTTTTATATGACATGGTGGAGTCTTTAGGCTTCTGACATTTATAGAAAAAAAATCATCCTTCAATGAGGTTGAGAAGTTTGTTTTTTTTTTTTTTTTTTTTTTTTTTTTTCAGAAAATAGGTGACAAAATTTTTAAATGTATTTTTATGAAACAGAATTTTCCAATTGGATGTGAAATCTTAAAATCCAGGATTTCTTTTCTGAATGCATCTTTTTAATATTCTTGTGCCTTTATGAGAGCCACATTTTTTGTCACTTGATTTTCCACAGATATTACCTGAAAGAACTGGTTTTTATGTAATAACTAGTTGTTTATGTAGCCGGTGATTTCATGGATAGAATGTATTAAATACATACATCAAAACTTCCATTCACTAGTAACACAGCAAATACTAAAAGCATATATAGAAATGCATTGCAAGTTATTTTACTATAGAAATTCATTACAAATTGTTTTAATACTAGCTCTTTCTGTAAAATTGATGCCACAAGTACAATATATTAAACAAATACATGAAAACTTTCATTCACTCTAATGATTCCATATACAGCAATGTAACAAATACTAAAAACTTACATAGGAAGTAAAAAGATGCCAAAATTTCCATTGTATATTTAGCATGTGAATAGACTTAATAAATATAATATGAATTCAAAATGTTTATCATTTAGTACTTGTTCTTGTTCTACTAGAAAACTTAGGCAAAATATTGCCAAAAGAGTACGATGATTACATTTTAGATAGCACTAACAGAAGAATTTGTAATTGCACACTCTTGGTGAGTGTTTGTTTTGGTGCCAAAATTAATATATTAAGTTGTTAGAAATGCTTTTATTGCATAATTATTATTTTAGCCAATTTAAACAATCTGAAGGTCATTCACAGTATAAATAAAAATCACAATAGTAATGTTAAAGCTTAAAAATGGAATTTGATAATTAAATGTCAGATATATTTACTTTTTTTTTTTTTTTTTAATATGACATTGGTACAAGATTCAACATTCAGTTGTACATTGCAATTAAAAACAGTCGATGGTGAAGAATTAATGCATTACTGACAGAAAAGGGCATTTATATGTATGATTCTTTAAAAAATTGCAGTTTGAAAGAAGAATGTTGTAATGAGAGTAAATTTTTTTTTTTTAATATTTGTTCAGTTAGAATGATAATTTTTTCATGTTAAAAGCCAATTTAGCTTTGAAACCAAAATGAAATTTGTAATCAACAAGTCAAAAACAAATTCTGATTTCACAAGACATTAAGAATTTGACTTCTCTTGCCATTTTCAGAAAATCAAAAAGAATTGACAATACGCTGTATACTTTCTGTTTAGATGATACACCTTGATTTAAAAAAAAAAGAGTAGAAGCCCTTACAGAAACGATGGTTGGCCACACCAACTGGGAGACCTGAAATGTTTAAGCTGTTGTCTTGAAAAGGCAAAAGAATTTGTTTTTTAATTTACACTTTGAAAAAGAATATGATAGATTGCTTAACTGAAAACTATTTAATTGATTCATGGAAATCTTTTGGTCTTGTAGAATTCCTATCAATTACTTTGTGTTCATTTTTTTTTTTTTTTGTTTTTTTGTTTTTTTTTTTCAGGGAATTATATTTTTGTGGGGGGAAAAAATCCCTTATTTCATTTTATTTTACTTTTTTGGGGAGTTTTCAATAAAAGAAATTAATTTTTTAAATTGTGTTTTGTTTGATTTATACCATCTCTAGTCAAAATCGACAAAACAATACATTCTTTTTTTTTCTCCTTTCTTTTTGTCTTAAATTCACTAATTTATTAGATGAAAAAATTACACTTAATTTTTGGCTAAATTATTTTTATCTTATTTTTGATGTTCTTTGTTGCAAAGCTTAGTTTGAATGGTTCTAGAAGGGCAAAACAATCCAGAATGGACTAGAAATGGGCAAAAAATTATATTTTAACAATCTTCTAGGTTTTAGTTATCTTGTGGATTCATTTTTACCCAGACATGATAGAGTAACAGTGCTTGTACCTTGCCTAATTTTATAAAACAATAATATTAAATGTAAATAGTGATGTTTTATAAGCCTTTAAATGCACAAAGTGAAAACACTTTGTCTCCAAATTCAGATAGTTTAAGTCTACGACTACAAAGCAGTAAAAATATTCTATAGTGTGAAGATTTCGATTAATTGATTAGTTTTTTACAGCTTATATTTTTTTTCTTTGCATATAAAATAGGATACAGAATCCAGACAAAGTTTGAAGAATATGAGAAAGGGAAAACCCTTTCATTGAAACTAGGTTACATGAAACAAGAAAATTGTAAAGATACAGAATAAATATTAACTTTTTTATATATGTATATATAAGTTGCACAATATCATTTTCTTTCATCATGAGAAATGTCAGCAGAGAAACTAATAACGATTTATTATTTAAGCATATACACATTTCTTTCATTTTTGATCTGATGAAGCCTAGTAATGAAATGGTTTTTCATTTGTTATATATATATATATATATATATATTTTAGGATATCAAAACAAAACCCTGTTAAAAATTGCTACATGATTACAGTAATGTTTCAATGCTACAAATGTG